TTTGTGCATTCCTTCGCCCGCTCCCTCATAGACTTCGGACCCTGTGCGCCAAAAAGTTTCCGATCATCTCTGGTCAAACCACCGCCCTTACTGAATCAAGCCGTGGGTCTTCGATTAGCAAAGGAGGTCTCCTCCGAGCTCTCAGCCTACGCCCACGCCGCACGCCTGTCCGAGGTCCGGCCCTGCCGCCATCCGACGCCGACGCAACCATGTCTAACTTTGGGGACGCGACCAAGGTGGCTGTCATTTCAGGTAAGAGACAACCTGCTTTATAAACACCTTTGGTCTCCGCATCTTCTCTTTGTACACGTTCCTACCGAGAGCTGGATCTGGATTGTCGATACCGACATACGAGCCGCCTTCATTCAAGATCCGCCATCATGCCTCGCAAGAAGGGTTCCGCAGCTCGTTCCAAGTCGCCAGCCAAAAGGCAACCTGTCAAGAAATTCAGCAACCCTCAGCTCGCGTCGCAGGCAGCCGAGTCTGGGAACAGCAAGATTAACGTTGTAGCAGAAGCTCCAGAGCTTGGGCCACCGGCGTCCTCAATCAACGACAAGCAGACTCCTGATGATACCGAGAGACCTGCCGCTGAGAGAAAGGAGTCCAACCACGAATACAGCGCCACTGTAAGTCAATATGAATTCAACTAGCTACTTCCCCATCTCGTTGACAATGCTTCCTTCCACAGGGCCTAGATGATTCTCCGAAAAGTCCAAGCAGAGGCCATCGACGATCCCCATCTTCGGCGAGAAGCAACGGCAGTAAGGCCGAGGAGAACGACAGCAATGGCAATGCTGTTGACCCCGAAAAGAGCTTTGGCAGCGAGGGTACCGCCGATGAGACTCTCGTCGATGGATTTGATGTTGACAGATCGGAGTCAACAAGCGTCAAGGGAATGAGCGACGACAACTACCCGCGCCTCACTCTCGCAGCACAAGGCCGAAGGAACAGCCACCGCTTCGGATTGAAGGCTGCAGGCATCCGCTTCGCACCTCTTCAGGTCCCCTTTCAGCGCCGGCTCCAGACCGGAGCCGTTCTATTTCATGGCTTATCCATTCTTACATTCGTCTCCATCTTCTTTTTCCTCGCCGCGATCCCTTTCACCTGGCCTCTCTTGGTTCCTTACCTCATTCACCTGTCACTCTCTGGCGTTGCCTCCAATGGCAATTTGAAGCTACGGTCGGAGTGGCTACGATCGCTTCCTATTTGGAAATTCTTCGCCGATTACTATCCTGCTGAGCTTCACAAGACCCACGATCTTCCACCAACAAGGAAGTACATTTTCGGCTACCACCCTCATGGAATCATCTCACACGGCGCTTTCGCAGCATTCGCAACCAATGCCCTCGGATTCGCCCAGAAGTTCCCTGGGATCACCAACTCATTGTTGACACTCGACAACAACTTCCGAATCCCCTTTTACCGCGACTACATCCTGTTCATGGGCGTTCGATCTGTGTCTAAGGAGTCGATCTGGAACACGCTGAGCAAGGGCGGCGCCAATGGTGAGGGAATGGGACGTGCAGTCACCATCGTTGTGGGTGGTGCCAGGGAGTCGCTTGAGGCTCAGCCTGGGACTCTCAGATTGATACTGAAGGGACGCAAGGGCTTCATTAAAATGGCGCTGCGGACTGGAGCTGACCTGGTGCCCGTTCTGGGTTTTGGCGAGAATGACCTCTACGACCAACTCAGCCCGAAGACCCATCCTTGGGTGCACAACTTCCAGATGTTTGTGCTTCGCGTCTTCAAGTTTACTCTCCCGGCTCTCCATGGCCGGGGGATCCTCAACTACGATGTTGGCATGATGCCGTACCGCAGACCGCTCAACATCGTGGTGGGCAAGCCTATCAAGGTCACCACGTCGCCCACAGCACAACCTACCCAAGAAGATATTGACCGGCTACACGACCTGTACATGGCCGAACTTCAGAAGATTTGGGATACTTACAAAGACCAATTCGTGCCTGAGCGCAAGGCCGAGCTCCAGTTCATTGCTTGAAGTAGCACAGTACTGCTGCAAGCGGCCGCACATCCTTTTTCTTATAACTTTTCTTTGAGTTTGATACTCCGTTCTTTGTCTTTTTCACAACAAAATACGGTAGCGTGGTTGAATTTGGCGCCTGGAGGGTATTCGGGTTGGAAAAGGGGAAGCAAAGTACACTACACATCGGAATGGCTAAGTATAGTTTTAGCAAATACCACGGTTTTCAATTAAAAGTCTGATGAAAATCAAATAACTGGGTTTTTATTTTTATTTTTTTATTTTTTTTTATACCGGAACGATGTGGACATGATGTTTGTTCATCACCTCGGTCCAGCCGCGAGATTTTATTGAAGGAAGTCAAGTGCAGCCGTAAAGTCGAGCACAGACTCTACCCGTACAGCTGTATTACCTAGTACCTACTTAATTGCAAATCAAAGTCACCTGACATCGCGCATGTATGACGCGGACCTCGACGCGTCCTACCTTAATCACTGGCCTGCCGACGACGAGTATTTGCTTTTTTGGAAGACCCAATTTCAACTCCTCCATTCGCCCCTTCCTCCTTTCAATCTTGCGAAAATTGGTCTTTCTTCACACATCTCATTGCGAAGATTGATCACCTCGGCACAAATTGAGTAGAGAAGGAAAAATGCCTCCCCGCACTTCTGCACGCAGAAAGGCGCAAGCAGTCGTCGAAACCAAGGTCGAAGAGACGACCACCACAAAGACGAACGGCACCAAGGGCACTACTGTTGCTGCAACGAAGACGAAAACCACAGCTGCTGCTAAGAAGCTAACAACAAAGCGCAAGGTCTCCTCAGACGACGAAAACGAGGCCTGCGGAAGCTGCGCCGAGGAAGAGGAAGAGAAGCCAACAAAGAAGAGGAAAACTACAGTAGCGAAGGGCAAGGCGAAGAAGGAAGACGATATGCCGTTGGCAGATAGGACAGCAGTGTCTTCTCTGAAGAGGGCGATGTATATTGGCGCCCACGTCAGCGGTGCTGGCGGTCAGTTTTTGCCACGCCTCCTTATCCTCCAACCTTGGCGCTGACAGTTGTATCAAAGGTGTACAAAACTCGATTCAGAATGCCGTCAATATCGGTGCCAACGCTTTTGCCCTATTCCTCAAGTCACAAAGGAAGTGGGAGAGTCCTCCTTTGGCAGCCGATGCCAAAGACCAATTCGTGTCCCTCGCGAAGGAAAATAACTACGATGCCGCTGCACACGTCCTTCCCCACGGCTCATACCTCGTCAACCTCGCCCGAGCAGACGCCGATAAGGCGAAGCAGGCATATAAGAGCTTCATAGATGACCTTCAACGGTGCGAGCAGCTGGGCATCAAACTGTACAACTTCCACCCGGGCAACACGGGAGGAGAGGCTCGCGAAGAGGCGTGCGGGCGCATCGCGGCGCAGCTCAACACTGCGCACAAGGCGACGAAGAAGGTGATAACGGTGTTGGAGAACATGGCAGGGACTGGCAACGTTATCGGCACAAAGTTTGAGGACTTAAAGCAAATCATTGACAAGGTCGAGGATAAGGAACGAGTTGGCGTGTGTATTGACACTTGCCATGCTTTTGCGGCAGGGTACGACTTGCGGACGCCGGAAAAGTTTCATGAGACGATGAAGGAGTTTGACGAGGTCGTTGGTAACAAGTACCTCAAGGCATTCCACCGTAAGTGCTCATCCCCCTTGCTCAAACCTTTCGGCACTCTAGAAGGCCATGACTGACACCACAAAGTCAATGACAGCAAGGCACCCTTCGCCTCCCACCGCGACCTCCACGCCAACATCGGCACAGGCTTCCTCGGCCTCCGCGCCTTCCACACCCTCGTCAACCACGAGCCTTTCCAGAACCTCCCTATGGTCCTCGAGACGCCCATCGACCACAAGGACGCAAACGGTAAGACCGTTGAGGACAAGAAGGTCTGGGCGGACGAGATCAAGCTCCTGGAGAGCATGATTGGCATGGACGCCGAGAGCGACGAGTTCAAGGCGCTCGAAGTGGAGCTACAGAAGAAGGGCGCGGGCGAGAGGGACAAGATACAGGACCAGGTCGACCGCAAGGCCGAAAAGGATGCCAAGAAGGGGACCAAGGGGGCTAAGGGGGCCGCAAAGAAGGGCGCGGCGGCTGGGAAGGGTAGGAAGAAGAAGGTTGAGACTGATGATGAGAGCGAGTGAGAGAACTGGACTGGATTCGATGTCCGGACTGTGTATTGATGTGTACCTTATTCCCTTATGAGCGACTGGATGCTTGGCGTGTAAAATCCAATTCTAAGTCTGGACCAATAGCTACCTTCAGAAACAATCCGGTCACCGGGATGGATTCGAAGTCCCTGGGAGTTATGTGCAGTGATCCTAAGTCCTCTGGGAAGTTCTACAATCGGGTGGGCTCATCGACCTGGGTTTTGTGATGTAACCTTTCCTACCTTCGGTACCTATCCCCCACCTGATGAATCAGGCACCAAACACTCACCCTATCCATGGAAACATCAGGCTCAAGGAGGCTTTTCATACGATCACGACAAGAAGCCCATATAGGTCCCCCCAACTCCATCCCAGTCACCAGCCAGCAGGCGCCCGTCTAGGTCGACGGGTCAGGTCAAACAGGCTGAGTGGTGGAGTGGTTAAAGGGTCGTCAATCAATTCTATGCCAACGAGCCTACTCGACGACAGGCTAAGCGCATACGAGAGTACCCGAGTTCGAATCCCAGCATCCGCATCCAGAAAATTTCCCAGCATGAGCACCAAGAGATGTAACCCCCAGTTCAGCACCGGGGGGGGGGGGTGTGAACTCTTTTTTGGTTCATGTGTATACACGGATTAGATAGACGCTATTGTGATAGAGTTCTGTTATGACCCAAGTCTAAAAGAAAAACGCAGAAAAAAAGACCGCACCAGTGGTATAGGTAGTTCGACGTAAACAATCTCCCTCCTGCATAGAGCCCGGAACGCCCATCAGCCGCCCCCTCTTCGTCTAATTGTACGCAAGATAGACATGTCAATACTCTTCCTCACCTCCTGCCCTTGGCGAACGCCTCGACCTTGCCAACGAGACTTTTCAACCCGACACCTCTCTCGCAGTTGCCCTCCAACCAAGCCTCCATCTTCTCCCTGACGCCGCGCATGCTCTTGAGTACCGGCATGCGAGCGCCCTCCTCCGCGGCGACAAACGAGCCTGGGTTTAGCAACAAATCGAAACATTCTGACCAGATCTCCGTCTGCCAGTACCGCTTGAGACTCTCGCGGACGCGGTATTTGCGCCCGCCTGCCCCGATCCCGCCCTGGTCACAGCGAACCGTGTCAATGTACTTTCCAAACAGCAGGCAGTGAACAATGCCCGCGAGGCCGTGGTAGTCAATCTGCCACGTCCATGGCCGACCCTCGCGCATCTCGGCGCAGTCTTGCGCGCTTGTCTTCCAGTCCGCAATGAAGCCCACGTCGGGCGCAAAGTTACGCATGTCAATGCCGCGGCCGAAATCGATGAGAGTCACGCCACGCGCACCCCAGCCACCTGCGCCGGTAGCGCTGTATTGCGTTGACAGGGGCTGGTCGTTGCCGCCGTGGTCGAGGCGGAGGAGGCAGTTGTCAACTTTGAGGTCGCCGTGGAGGACGCCGCGGGTATGTAGGGCCTCGACGGTGCGGAACAGTTCAATGGTGAAGAACATGGCCAGCTGCTCATCCATGACGGCAGAGGGCTCGGCGCGAAAGAAGTTGACAACGTCGAGGACGCTGCCGTGGGGGTGATAGGGGAGGAAGAGGAAGCCCTCGTCCTGGTAGAGGTGGAACTCGTGGGCGTAAGAGATGGAGGCGGCCGCGCGGTGCTGAGTGCCCAGGCGCGTGTGGGCGAGACGCATCATATGGAACTCCCAGGGCGTTGGAGGAAGTTCCATCTTGAGTGCTTCCAGAGGACTGCGATGGTTGACGGCAAATGCGCCCTTGCCCATGGCCACGACACCGTTCTCATCCTCGTCTTCTTGATCTGCGTCTGGGTTCTCGACGAGATAGACTGGAGCAAAAGCGCCGGCACCGAGCTCTTTCCTGATGGTGTACTCTGTAGCAATATCGGGAAACTCGATAGTAACCATGGCACAAGCATTGCTCACTCTGTCTCCGCCTTTGGCTGCCTTTGTCATGGCCTTGGCGAATTTGCGGATCTCGTTGCCCTTCTCGTACTTCTCGTGGCTATGGTCGTAGAATCCAGGGTATGAGTCGAGCGGTGGATGTATATTGGCGAGGATCTCATTCCTCACAGCTTCATCTACTGGGTTGCATTGCAACTCCTTGATGATCGGTCCCTTGGGAGGTGCTGGCTTTGACGGAGCAGACTTTGCCTTGCCGAGAAGGGGCTGGGCAATTTTGATAGGTCGAACCTCGCTCAGGACTTCCCTCAATGGGCTGCTACCCGGCTCTTCCATGTCAGAGTCCTCCTCATGGATAGTTGACTCGTATTCCTCACGAGACGGAGTCTCATACCTTGCCTTCCGTTCTGTAAACGCAAGAGAAGATTCGGTTCTCTCCGTAATCGGGGTCATGAAGGGGAGACGGTTATTGGCCATCTCGACCGGGTCCCTAAACGGTCGTGTCCTGGGCTCATAATCCTCTGGGGGTATCGGCACGAAGATCGTTTTCGTTCTTGGTGGGTAATCCTCATCACCTTCCTCTTCTTCTCCGGCCTCGTGTTCGTCATCTGATTCTCTGCCATCCTGGGAGGCAGTCTGCTCATCAGGTAGAGGACCGGTACGCTCAGCGTAATTTGGATCCATCAAATCGGAAGCTTGGGTATCGTCTACACCGGCTTGGGTCGCGTCCTCGTCGAGAACAGGGACGTGCTTGCGTGTGGAGAAGTCAGACCATTCACTGATACTCTTCAGATCCGAGCCATCTTCGTCAGCTTCTTCGGCGTTGTTGTCGTTTTCAATCAGGCGAGTAGTCATGGTGTTCTCAACCTCGGTGTAGTCGCCATCTGTCTCGTAGTCATCGTCCTCGTCACTATCTTCCTCTTCATCTTCCTCCTCCTCTTCCTCATCATCCAAAGGATTAGACTGAATGGGTTGGTTAAAAATCTCGTAGATCTCATCCGTAGCAGCCCGTGTATGGAGCGTCATCGTTGGCTCAGCCGTGTTCCTCTTCTTCAACTTCGGCCTAGACGGTGAGTCTAGATTTGCTTTGACTATACAATTGTCAGCCTGAACAGGATGTAACTTATTGGAATGGAAGCCGCTTACTGATTTGAGTCTCATTAACCTCCATCGTCTTCTTTTTCTTGCTCTTGCCCCCCTTCTTCTTTACTATGGCTCCGTTCTCATCCATTACGACGGTTTCTGTGTGAACAACCAGCTTCTCCTGTACTAGGTGGCTGAGATCGTCAACCATGGAAGGCTCAACGCTCATCATCTCGGAAGGAACTTCCTCAGTTAGTGACACTTCATCCCAGGAGACATCCAGCCAGCCTCGGTTCATGGCCCAAACTTCCTCAAAACCAAGCTCCGAGCCAGGTTCTTCGGGAGTGGGATAGAGGGCCTCGAGGCTAACAAAGATGCGCTCCTTCTTCCCGCTTACGGGGTTCACTACTGTTTGATTCTTCGATGGCACGAGTGTAATATGGGACTTGGACATTTGCGCTCGTGATGATCGTGATTGGGCTTTGGGTTGCATTTTTGATTGCAACTGAGACTGAAATACATGAAATGCCATAAAGCCAAACATTAGTCCTATAATCATCAACATCCAGGCATTGGGAAGTTCAAGTAAATTGGTGCTTACCGTATCCTTAAAGATAGCCATCTTCGGAGCAGTGCTCTTCTTCCCGCCAGCCTTCAATGTCTCTCCCGCCCACGGCTTGGGTTCCATCACATTCTCCTTCTTCCGATCGCCCAAGGAGCCGATTGAATCCCATCCCTTCGAGCTTGGTCCACGCGACGACAATGCTGGGGGTGCGGAGTCGGCATCTGAGAAGATGGACATCTTAGCTTTGCCAGGTTTCGCCGCCGTTGTGCTCACGCCCTGGCTGGGTCGAGGGGCCTGGGGGTCTGCAGCGACAGCGGCCGCAGCGCGGGCGGCAGCAAAAGGGTCAATCTTTGCAGCCAAAGCAGGCCGCACGGTGGGAAGTGCTGGTGAAGAGGGCTCGTTGTCGGCCTCGGGCTGGTGGGCGAGTCTCTCCTCGAACTCCTTGAACTTGCGAATCAGACGCTGTACCGGTCTTGCCTCGCGCTCGATTCCGAGCTTGTACACCTCCTCTGCTTGGCTCCATCTCCCAGCGCCCTCGAGCCAGGCGGCGTACTCTTCGTAGAAAAGGGCAAGTGATTCTCCGATGCTATGTCGCGACAGGAAGAGGAAGGTTTCGCGCGGTGAGTCGGCGAAGAATTGGATGTACAGAATCCAGATCTTGAGGTATCTGGGATCGTTCTTGTACTGCGAGGAGCCGATGAAGGTCTTGGTTGCGCGCTCGAGGAGTGTGTGAAGCTGAGATTGCGGTGTTGCTTGCGCTGAGGGGTATGCGTCTAGGGTCCATCGCACATAACGGTCGAAAATATCTAGAGGATCGTCTGACTCGGAGATGTTCTGGAGTTCCTCCTCGTACTCGACTCGAATGCAGTCATTGACATTTTTAGTGTCTGAGGGTATCGGGGTGTTCAGCTTCTGCAGAGGTGAGGGCGAGAACAGCTGGGCCAGCTTTTTGGCGGAGCGACCACTGGGCAGCGCCTGGATATTTTCTTTCTGTGCTTCGATAACGTCGAAGTTGATGAGATCGTCGGAGGCTGCCATGGTTAGTATCGTCGCGGCAAGTTGCCGTCGCGTCTCCGGGTGATGTGGTGCTGGAGTACTGCGTCTAGGTTGTCGATGTCTAAGTTGGAAATGGGGCGGCGTTAGAAAAGGATGCCCAGTGTTGTGGTGTTGATTATTGATAACGATAACAGATCGGCCATGTGGGTCGCGCGGCAAGTTGCTGGGACAACGGACTTCTTCACCCTACTTATGTAATCATTATCCTTCACCGAGCTCGTTGTGCTCTCATCGTCATTTCGTCAAACGTTACTTACCAAGTTAGGAAGTAGCAGCACGCCTCCATTTATTCCTTTATGTGACCTCCATGTAATAATACCACGTCATCCCCTTCAACACAAAGGAAAAAAAATCAGCATGTAACAAGGCTTGAACCGTTTGGCGGATTCCAGAATGACAAAAGGTTTTAGCGTCCAAAAAACCTCGGTCCTCCGTTTGGCCTCTTCTAGCGCTCGGTCCGTCTGATCTTAGTGGCCGAACCTGCCCATGTGCCCCTATCCTGTCCAACCTCTTTCACTATTGAAGTAAAAAGTCAGAATGACGCCACCCCAGTCACTCCTTTCTTGCCGACTGAATATCACAGGTTTGAGCTCGCTCATCGCGATACGACAAAGTTCTGAATGCTTCTCACATGTTGAACGGCGAATTCACCTCGCAACTAGCTCCAAAAGAGCTGTAAACGTGTTGTAGAAGAGCTTTGTCATGGAATACTCAACAACGGCGGCTTCGGCATCAAGTCTGATGCCGAAGAAACGCTTGCTGGACCTTCCCAACGAGCTTATCTGTTGCGTCGTCGACTCTGTCGCACTTTTGAGGAAAGACAGATACGATGATGCTAGGGATACCCAGACCTTGTCGAATCTTTCACAAACTTGTCAACTATTTCACCTTCTCTGCAATTCTCAACTCTTTTCTAATATCAACCTGGATGAGTCCAAAGATGCCGCTGGTCTTCTCATCCGGTCCCTTATCGAAACACCTGAACTTGGGGTTCATGTGCAACGTCTGACATTACGCGTAATATGGGAGTCAGCCGAGCAATGCGAGAAGGGATTACGGAAACGGCTTACACAGACCCAGAGCAATACGACATATCATCCGGGAACTTTGCCGAATTTGCGGCACTTGGAACTGGAAGACCCTGCAGTGTACTTCATGAACATTCCCGAAGTTCCTCGCATATTCACTAGCTTGCTTGCGCTGCCGCCTCTCACGTCGATTCTTACGCGATACGACAACGATCGATGGGGAGGTCTCGCCCAAGTCGCCGCAGCTGGACCCTTCGCCTTGGAGCAAATACGCTTCCACGAAACTGCCATCCGAGGACCTGACCTATGCCGACTACTCCAGCTGTGCCCCGATCTTCGAGTCCTCGAGATCGAGATTGACTATCACTTCTTCGCTCCTTGTTTCCAGCAAACTACACACCCAGGGATCACCACTCACCTATCCACGACGCTCTCAACACTCTGCCCCCGCTTACAGAGACTCACGCTGCTACATGGGGATCTCTCAGCTCTTCGGACTCCTGATGAACCATGTCTCACATGTCTTACGGATTTGGAAGATCTGACTGTGCTGGAGACGGAATTGCCAACTATCTTCCGAAGTCCCGAAGACATGGCAAACGCAGACATCACTGCGCGTCTGCCTGCCAAGCTCACGCAACTGACTCTCCATGACATTTGGTACTCGGATCCAAGGTACTGTTTGTACTCACTGGCCCCAGGCTCTCGTCCTTGGATTCACGAGAGGCTAGATGCCAGCACTGAACCTCTTACTGCGATGTTGCTTCGTCTGGCATCATCATGTTTGGCCGGTCAACTATCTGGCCTCCGAAAGGTAGCCGTTAAGACTCCGACATACGAACACGACAGAGGCAATACTTGTGACAAAATTTCAGAAGCATTTGCGAAGACTGGAGTTTTGTTTGAACTGATTTCCGCTCACTCAACATTTCCATGCCCATTAACGCGATAACATCAGAGAATGGTCGTCAAGAATTTGAATAGCATAGGTCTTGGGATATTTCCAGTACTCGCTTAGCTACAGTACAACTAGTATCAATTGAGTGAAATCCACAATTCGTTGAACCATTACTTCATCCTCAACATAGCTTTGGTGCTTTATTCCAGTGCCCTTTGGTTTACTACTGCAGCCTATCGAGGATCTACATGTACTGACCTATTTAAAAATTCATTTTGATTCAGAGAATTCTTACCTTTACAATATTGATGGAGTCGGTTTGGCTGTAAGTAAAGAATTTTATCGGAAGAAAAAAAAGTTCCTCAGATTTCTTTTCAATTTAATTCTTGTTGTTATGAATGAACATCATGTATGGAGACATGTACATAGGGTTACTTGTGCTGCAGCAGTTTCCAGAAAAGACTTGACGAAGGATTTGTGACAAGTATTAATACAAAAAAAAGTCTCTAGTTCAAAAGACGCTGTCAGAGCTTGCAGACGCCAACACCGCTCAAATTGAGGTGCATACGGCTGCAGTCTCAGCAAGCTCTGAACCGACTTCCGGGACATTCCCGATCCGCACAGCGGGGTTCTTGCATCACGTCATACGGGCCGAACAGTAACCTTTTTGATCATACTTCTATTACTACACACCTGATACTGAAACAATAGTAGTATTGACGACTTGAAGGAAGGCGGCATCCATACTTAACTCGAACCTCGAAAATTAGTTGCTCGGAAAACTCCTTATAATTTTCTACCCGTCACACTCTCACGATGCGTGTCGAAAAGTTTCCCCTCTCACCCCCGAGTCTAGAAGAGCTGGCCGAGCGACTCAAAGCTCCCTTGGACGCCAACTACAAGCACGCATCAGTGACTGTGGTCGATTGTCCTGACCTACGAAAAGCGCCTTTTCATCTGGCGACCGAGGGCCTCTCGGGCGATGAAAAAATCGCAGATGTTGGCGGCCAGCCGAATCTCTTTCCACGCCCCCGGCTTGACAGTATCTGGTCCATACCAGAGCTTGGTAGAAACATGGAAATGAGCCCCGAAAAGGGTAGCTTGATCGGCGCTGGTGCCGGTCCTTTCCACGTCATCGGGCAGAACAGCGAGCTTGCGCCGAATCTCAGCTGGCAAGGCGGTCTTGATAAGGTCGATAACAAAAGTCAAGTCATCCAGATCAAACGCGCCACCGGAGAAGTCAGCGTCGGAACGAGCCCTTCCGTAGACTGCGGCCTCATGGTCAACTTGTACGGTTCCCTGGGCGAGCCAGGACCGGTCCTCAAGATTACAGCAAAGGGCCGCAAGGGTTCTGAAAAGAGCTTTACTGAGTGCATCCGGAAAGGACTGAATGCTGCGTATGGCGATGAAAGAACTATTAGTCTCGGCGGAGCCTTTGTGGTGAAGGCAGGGAAGGCGACTTACCACATCATGCCTGATTTCCCTGCCGAGAGCGATCTACCTTTTAAAGACAGAAAGGAAGTTGAGAAGTGGTTGACCTTTCATGATTTCGATTCGCCCATTGTGGGACTATCTGTGTTGCACTCTGCGGATCCTGGCAACAAGATGGGCTTGAGGATTGAGCATACGCACGCGTTCTCTCCACTGGAAAAGAATGCTGGAGGTCACTACCATTACGAAGCCGAGGGAGAGGAAGAGGTTGAGTATGAAGGATACTTCAATACTGCAAAAACGATATACAGGATAGACAGCCCAGCGGTCAACTAAGCAATATGGAAGTAAGAATCATTTCCACAATGCCGTGTCATGAATTTTTCACCAAAGACATTCTTCATCGGACTCTTCGTCAGTAATATTGAGGCTTTGTTTGAACTCCTTCGTCCATTGTCGGACTGGCTTTTCGCCAACTCGAAGCTCTTTGTAGAATGACTTCAGCGGCTCTGGAAGTTGATTGGAGTCAAGCAACCCATCGTCGTCGACATATTCCTCCATGTATGCGACCATGGCCATGGCGAAGGAGCCCACCGTCTTTCCTGAGTCACGAGCATAGAGTCTGAGGTATGCTTCAAGTAGTATGTGAGCTCTGGGGACGACGACAGAGCTATTGCTAGATTGAAAAGCACCCGTTCCGCGACCAGGCCGCCAAGGTGGAAGCACATCTCGGTCGCAGGCGAGAGAAAAGGTGGGCGAGAGCTTGGTAATTTCGCCAGACAAGACGGACTCATCCAGTAGTGGCAAGAACCACAGAGTTTCAGACTGTGTGTAGAGGCCAACGGTGACTTCGGAGGCTTTGGTGTGCACATGGAACGTAGGCGGCGGCGTTCGGCGCTCAGGAGAGCTTGCAAAACAAAGCTCTACGGATGGACATTGCTGGAAATTAGGTAGCTCTGAGATGACGTCTGCGGCGGCCGAAATCAGTTGATCGGGGACAACGAAATCTATCGACTTTCCCTTTGTTAGCCTAGGCATTGATGAGATTAGTGCATTGTCTTGGGACCTGCCTACTTACCCCTATGATCGAAGGTACACCGTGGACATTGAGCAGATAGTGACCCCAGAGTACACAAGGAATTCTCGATGCTTTGAGGGCTGAGGCGATCGACTCTACAAGTGGCTCTTTCGCGTCGAACATTCTGAGCGACCGCTGGACAGTGACCGTGTAACTCTGAGGTTGTTTGTTGCCAATACGCGATGAGATCAAAGGCCGCTGAACAGATAGCCCGACCGGCGTGTGGGAATATTGCTAGCGATCGAGCAGATTGGTTGGGTTCTGCAGACCGTTATGTTTGCTATATATATGTGGAGAAGTTACCTCTGGAGAGCCTCTGACAACCAACTCACTCACTCTCGACCCCTGAACTCCGATCATACAGTACGCCATTTTCTTTTTTCCCGCTGTTACTTTGGTCTCAAATATGGACACAGGTCGCAGCAACAGAAGTTAGTAGTGCCCTACCCCCGGAACTGCGAATTCAAATATGGAACGAGGCACTTTCGGTGCCGGCCGTTTTGACCATAATACTTGTGCCCAATGCAACCACAAGGAGCGATGACAACAACCTCTCCAAGCTCATTCCTCTCATGGTCCACGTTGGTACGGCTCCCTTCCTGGTCGGTCTTGCCTGCAAGGAATCACGACAGCTTTTGGAGATGATTTATCCCAATCCCATACAATTATCAAGGGGCCCTGGGGTAAGCGATGCCGTTTACTGGGTTGATTGGGAATCAACGGTCGTGTACTTGCGTGCTACACCTTGTACAATACTTCTTGATCGTTTTCCGCGCACGACAGACGCTTTCGATTATTACCTCGAGGCATACCCCAAAGAATTGACGAAATCACGCCACGTCGTCGTAGAGAAATCCCTCCATGTTCTTTCCGTTGGTTACTTACTACTTAGACACTGTCATGGGCTGCGTACACTCATCATACAGGGTAAACCAGCCGGCAGCTCTGTCATCGCCGGCCCTCATATGCCCCTGACGGAGGTGATGGCTGCCTGCACACTTCCTCGACATTCTAGATTGCCCCGACAATGACCCCACATGCGAGGTCAAGCGCTGCGTTCAATCTGCAACGATGTTGACACACTCTCGTGATCGCCTCCGATCACCTCAAAATGTATACTACACGTCATCTACCTGCCTGAATTACCTAAAAAAAAAATTCCGCAGGGAATTGGGCCATAAGTATCTCGGTCTCCGATGGATACAGTACTAATCAGGTATATGACATTGGTGGACTCCGAGCTCGGAGCACGGTCTGTGGTAGTTGATGTCCCGTTGATTTGGTCAAGGCATTATCATACCTCAAGAAAACATTGCGTTCTTAAGTCAAATTTTGTTAAATGGCTCCGGGAGATCATTGATAGTTTTTTAAAGTTTGCAATTTACTGATCTTGTGCATGCCTCTAAGTCATATGCGTCGCCCTGATCCCACGCTCGACAACGACCAATTTAGTTTACCTTCAACACAGCATCAACGTAGCGATTCTCCGTAGCTGTCTTTCTTCTAGTCTTTGCTTGCAAGATCTAATTTTTAAGTCGATGCCTCACGGAAACTATTACTTTGAAGATCTATTTTGTGCCCAGGTTGCTGTCCGGTCGATTTTGCTTTTGGAGTTTGATAGTTTGTCCCCAATCATCGTAGTGCATTTTATGCATCGTCGAGGTTATCTGAGAAACATTGCGTTGATATCCAGCCCAATAAACACTTCTGATCAAATTTCAATGAACTTTTCTTCATCGAATCCTGCTGCCTGAGAGAAGTAATATCCTCGCTGATTTGCGATCAGCCTCAGCGGCTCGGCGTCACCTTCCCTCTGTATCGTAAAGTCGCAGTTATAGTGTGTATGCCCAAAGGCCCATATTTTCACTTTCCTGCTCCTAAAACATAGTTGTCCTGATAGGTCTGTCGCAAATCCCGACGTGATTGGACTTTGTGCAAATCTCGGATCGATGGAGCGTTCATCTCTGCTTGGATTCCAGTGCGAGAAGATAATAACCTCCACGTCGGAACTTTCGAGCTCTGAAACCTGCGCATTGAGCCAGGCTACATCCCGATTGTGGGCATCGTTGTGGGCTTGTACATCCCAGTCGCTGGTTTGGAAGAAGTCGTTGAGCCCCATGCTGACTTGCATCTCGCTTTCGGGCGGCACGAAGGAGAAGAGACTACAGCCCAGAATGACAGTGTTTGAGCCGGGCACCTGATACGCATTACGGTCTAGGAGAACGAAGTCACCGATTGAATCGTCTTGATCGAACTCTCGTTCAAATTGTCGGAGAAGATTGAGGGTTTCGGGCCAGCTGGAGTGGTAGGCTTCGTGGTTTCCAGGAACGAAGAGTACAGTGCGGAAGTTTTGGAGTTGCCGAATCAGGAAAGCGCGGCACTCATCCTTGTGAGCGGCGATGTTCCCAATGTCGCCGAGCAGGGCCAGAGTCGGGGCGTGAGGGGGAATTTCGAAGACATAATAGGCCTTTGGTGCCTCAAGGTGCAAGTCAGAGATAATCTGGATAGACATGATGAGAGGCGATGTTGTTGTTGGCAAGTTGCGTTGCTGCCTGAAGAAAGCCGTTGGTTGTCTTGACAGGCCATAGTGCGAACAGGCCTAAGTTCTCGCGCTACACTGTGCTACACACGACCCTTGACCGTATTATCGAGTAACATTAGTAGTTTTTGTTCTAGCAATATGGCCCAATCCGGACAGGCTCATTTTCATGTATCTTTCTACCTAGACATATACCAAACTAGGAAGAGAATGTTTGCCATTGCTCGAGACTCTTCAAAACTTTCCGAGCCTAAAAGGAAAGAAGAAGCTCATTGTGTTCGTGCAATGTTGAGCGACTTTTGTAGAAACACTGTAGAAAGTGGAGGCAAGTGCTAGGAGAAGTAAGTTCCACAACAGATGATGAGTGCCATGGTTTTGCGACGAATATGAACGAATTTTGATGTTTCTTTCGACTGTGAGACGTCGGGAAGAATAAATAAATCGAGGACCCTTGGCGTCCAGGCACACTGTTAAAATCGGTAATCTCCGCAATCGCCCCCTTGCCTCTTTAGGCCACGGAATATTTTCCTTTGTCAGGGGCTGCTCAACCCTTCCATATCAAAATATTCCTTGCGACAACGTCAACTCACCAGCCTGCTATGTTTACTGTCCGGCAAGCGATCGGGAAAGGCCTCGGAGTCTTTGCTTCGAGACCAATTCTCTCAGGCCAAAGAATCCTCACAGACCAAGCTCTACTCACAATCACATCCTCAGATAGCAACTCGATCCTGCGACAGGCCCAACTCCTCTCAACAGCTGGCCGGGACTCACTACTCTCATTATCAACCAATCCCAGCAAGTCAAGCGTCTTCAGCTGGCTAGAGTCAATATGGCGAAGCAAGTCTGCTCCACAAGACACAGTGTCTAATCACACCATTCTCAATATCTTTCGGAACAACAACTTCAACATTGGCAACCAGACCCAGGCGCTCTTCCCTCAAGTTGCGCGCTTGAATCACTCGTGTGTTCCTAACGCCCAAGGAAACTTCAACAAGGATTTGAACGCATTCACCATCCACGCTACCAGAAATATTGAGCCGGAAGAAGAAATCACAATCTCCTACCTCGACGAACATTTGGGCCTGCGGCAATCCCGACAGACCGCGTTGCATGACGGCTACGGCTTCGCTTGTGGATGCTCTGCTTGCAGTTCGACGACCTCATCAGAAGCCGGCGAGGTGCGTCGGGCGGAGATCCAGCGCAAGCTAGAGCTCTTCGCCGAAACTGCCTCTGAGGATCCGGAGGACGAGTTCAAGATGATGCTTGCGCTCTTAGACGCTCACGAGGCGGAGGCTATCCGCGGACGTGAGGTCTCGACAATGTACATCGCTACCGCTCGCAAAGCGTTTGACTTGGGAAAGCGAGAGGAAGGATGCGAGCTGGCGTTGAAGGGCCTGCAGCTCGAGAAGGAGGCTGTGGGTGATGACAGCCCTTTTTATGCTGCTACTCTAGAGGCAGTACAAGCGCTGGGGGTTAAAGTTTAATGCTGGTTCAACGAAGTAGCTATGGTCGACTAAAGGCAGCTGACTTTCATTTTCGAAGTTCCGCGTTTCGAGATACCCAACAGGATTTGGCGTCTTCCATTCTGTGCGTCATCGTCCGATCTAGTCTGTATTCATCTACAAACTAGGAAATTCATAGTAGACCTCAATTCCAGCTGCCATCGACCACTGGCCTAAAACCCCCGCTAAAACTTGGCTCGTTGACCACTTCCGTAGGCCATTGAGGGATTCTAGCTCTTTGCTCGTTGACTCGGGGCTGGCATTCTCTTGAAAGTTTTCAGAGCCGAGGAGCTTCACACCTTCTGCCGTAACGAGAAAGTTGTATCGGTTCGCATCTTTGTGTAAGAAGAGAGTACTTTACGGGGTTCTGAAGACGACAGGGTTGCTTAAACACCCTTTTAAGGGGCGGGGCACTACTTACTTTTGTGATGTGTAACTCATTTGATGAAGCAAGAACATATTAGTTTCGATTGAATATACATATGCATTCAAGCTATCGACCTGAGCGTCAAGTCGCAATTGCGAAAATTTTGAGTGCACATCAATTCCTCTGCCTACCGTACTTATAACAGTTTAACTTAACTTGAACTTGCTGAGCGCTGCTGTGATAAATGACGTGTGGTTCCTAACGGTTCGCAGCTCTTAGACTCCCCCGCAGACGCCAATCCGCGGAGCGCGACAGTTCCAATACAGGTTATCTCCTATTTCCGGCCGCCATCTGTTTCAAGAACGTACGTCATGGAAGACCTACAGACAGAGTAACACAAAAGTTAGCTCCGTTTCTGTGCTTTAACGAAGCAGAAATCCCCAGCAATTGTACCCCAGAGGTGTCGCATGCTTACCAAACATTTGTAGTTTCTATAGGGGGGTTTTGTCGCATTGTGATTACGGAATTGCACCAAGATTCGTCTTCGTATGCCATAGGAGAAACTCCGATTTCAAGAACGCTGTAGAAACGTGGCCTGCTAAGAAACATATCCGAACATGAAAAATATCCGCTTTCTTGGCGTAAGCTGCATATCTCTATGTGCCGCATTAGGAGAATGCTGAATCACCATCCCCCCCAAACGTAAGCGCCACTAAGTTACGATTGGTGCATAACGTTAATACTTTAGAGTCGAAGCAGCCTGTGTGCCTGTCTCTAGATTTCTAATTCCGGACTTTATGGCTTTAACGCGCCCGGGACGGAGGAACAACGATATTTCGCCGATTCCGAGAAATGCACGCAGAAGAGGTTCAACGGCTCTGTTTGACTTGGGACTACAAATACAACTAAGAAGTATTCCTCAATGAACCCATACCAGAAGGCAAGCACCGCACATCATTACTCTTACTCGCAGTAATCACATACCATTATAGTATCCCAAAATGTCTTCCAAGAAGATCATTCTCATCACTGGTAAGTTCTCGCTGTGATATACTCATGAGAAGGTCTATGGTCATCAAATGGGAAAGACATGCGTCAGTCACCGATCAGAATGAGAGTTAACAGTATTCAGGTGCAAATCAGGGCATTGGCTTTGATAGCGCCTGGGCCTTGGTCTCTGCATCCCCTGACAACCACGTCGTTGTCGGCTCCAGGAGCGCGGAGCGGGGTGCCAAGGCCGTGGAAGATCTCCAGGCCCGGAAACCGGCCGGCACCGTCAGCCTTCTGCAGCTCGACATCACTTCCGATGACTCCATCAAGGCGGCGGTTGAGAAGCTTACCGCTGACTTTGGCGTCCTTGACGTCCTCGTTAACAATGCCGGCATCGTCATCATGCAACCCAAGGATCGCCGCTCCGAGCTGATCGACACCTTCAACACCAACGCAGCTAGCGCATTGCTCCTCACCGAGGCCCTGATACCGCTACTCAAGAAGTCCAAGGATGCACGAATCATCAACGTCACGAGTGGTCTCGGTTCTCTTCACGAGCGTACGACACCAGGCGGTGCATTTTATGACATTCCCGCCGATGCCTACCGCATCTCCAAGGCGGCCCTGAATATGGCGACGGCCCATATGCTGTGGGCCTACAAGAGCTGGGGCGCAAAAGTCTGGGCCTTCTGCCCTGGCTGGGTCGTCACCAATCTGTCGGGTGAGGACGACAGGCAGAACAGGATTGATGGAGGTGCTGAGAGTTCGGAGACCAGTGCGAAGGGTATTCTAGAAATCGTTGAGGGCAAGAGAGATGGTGAGGTTGGCAAGTTTCTCCAGAGAAATGGGGAGCAGTTCCAGTGGTGATCAGTCCAGGAGTATTATTAGGTGGATAGCAAAGTATTTGAATGCTAAAATCTCGGGGCTTCTAATTCATCGCTTGATCGATATCTCTGTGGTCCGCATAATCCCTTGTCCTTTATCATCCTGGAGGATCATGTCCTCGCTTCCAGACCCTCTGCTGCCGTCTTTTCCGTATGGGCTTTGATGTAGGCTACCTACAGTATTGCGCTGTACCTCGGGAGATCCAGCAAAAGTACGACCATGCATCTCGTATTCAACTTGACTGTCATGAACTCTGTAGCCCTGGCGGCGTTTCGACGTATTCGTTCCAGTCCGTCTTCGATTCTCGTATAATTCGCCATGATAGCGGTTGCTCGACGAAATTTTAAGGGCATGACCGACAAGAGGTTTCAAAGATGGTGCGCAAGCCGCGATGATTCCGAGATTGAGTTGCAAGCTGTATCAATCAAGGGTTAGTCAAAGCAGATGACAGTTTGAGGAGGAAACTGACAATTCCCAGAATTGAATACTTTGGTAACTTTGGAGTTGTCAGTTGAGAACGCTAGCGAGGTGATGGCAAAACGCGACTTACAAAGTCTTGTCCATGTCTTTCCCGTAGGCTATTTGGTAGACTGACTTGATGACACCCATAGCTACCGCACTATGGACAATTAGTAAAGAAATCGTTACCTCAGTTGGGGTTCAACATACAAGTAACCGAGACTGAGAACAATGATAAGATATATCCGTGTTCTCAGTTTCATCTGCAACGTCCAAATGATGCACACAGGAAGCGTAGCGAAGCAGACATCGGTGAAGATATTGAAGGCAGTATTGATCAAGCCAAACTTGATGAAGAGAGCGATTGGATAACATTTGGGTTTCAAACTCTTGTCCCAATAGCCTTCCAGTGGTTGGCAGTAGAAGAAGAACGTCATCCAGGCCATGAAACTATAGGCAGACACAAATACTGATCGCAGTTAGCAAAAGATCATGCGTAATCTCCATTGTCTGACCATTCACAGCTCAAGGCAGTCGGTACTTACCAATTAATGCCCAAAGAGATCTCGAGTACCAGATTCCATTACTGAGCCTGAGGAGAGAGAGGCCAATCGATACTTTCAGCAATGCCAAACCAGCAATGGAAGATATGATTGACTGGAAGAAGCTTGACTTTCTCATGATGACCATATTCTCGGCAGGGATGGTGAGCGTGTGCTTCCCGAGACCGTAGAAGGATTGCACTGAGAAGATTGCCATGCCTGCCACGGCACATAACTTCCAAAGATCAATATTTCTTAGCCCTAAGGACCAAAATCGAACACAAACAGACGTACCACGGATGCGATGGCGACGTAGTCGTCTCTTCCCATAAGCTTGACGATGGCGGCACGGGTGTACACGCGAAGGCCGACGAAAAGCAGAGCAAGAGCGTGAAAGCCGCCAGTTACACCGACAATCATGGCGGTATTGCTCTCCTTGGCCCATTCCGGGTCAAGGGGGGTGGTAGGTGGAGGAGCTGAGGTCATTATGGCCGATTATAGCAGAATAAGACGTACATTGAGACCAGGTGGATGAAAACGGAATACATAGATGATAAAGAGATAGCAATCCCGGATGGAAGAGCGAGTCATGAGTTCATATCATGAACAATTCCATGCAGCATGTTACGAAAAGTCTGCCATCTGGGAGCGCAGGAAGCAAAGCAGAATCCTAAAGCGTGCCACGGCCGTCTCACAGCAAGCATTGGTGCGGGAAGTTGGAACTGAACTGATGCGAGTTGCCCGTTCAGCCATGTTCCATTCGCTTTAGGTGTCAAGTGAGTTTGAAGTCCACCTGCCTCTTCAGAGTGTGAGATTTTCGTAAGCATGGCTCTGGTGTGGCAAGCTCACTCCTGCAGCTGTCTTCATCGAGAATCAGGCATCCGGTGGGATGGAACCTGCACTGTTTTCAATCAACTGCTTAGCTGCGGCACAGAAAGGTGTGCCGCCCCCCAGCCACCCAAGTCCTCCGGATGTTTAATTCCCCTGAGAGTGAGGCGTATACGATTCTGGTGGATTGAGTTAGCAGCCGCGGTAGAAATGGCGAGTGAGCCTGAAGACTCTTCAAGTTATTCACTTATGTTTCTCACATCGTTTTCTTCAAGTTCGCCGTCAGTACACCTTGGTGAATTTGCCTGCGAGCAACATGTCATCGAAGAAGTCTGGTCTAACCTGGAGGGAAATTCAAATAGTGCTCGTTGATGATGTGTTCTTCGTGAATTTTCTGGGATAAGTGGAGCTTGGGCTGCGAGACGGCGGCGAGGTTGTGTCTAAACACCCATCGCTCAGGCTGAGCTGTGAGGATTCATTTCCTCCACCAAGTATTACAGCCTTGGCTGCATGTATGTCTGCGTACACGATATTTCGCCAGGTCTTATGAAAATTCACCAAGGCCGGGGTCGGCCTTTCGGTCAACAGGAAGTACGATACCATTTCCCTATGCGATGTACGAATGTCCGAAAGATCAGGGGAGCTCAACTTGGCAGAAAAATGATTCAAGGCGACAGACATAATGTCTCCACTGTCAAATGTCCCTTTGAGGTAAATCAACCGTGTTAGATGATCTTTTCCCCAGTGAAAGGCCTTCATGTGAGTAATTCTCTAGTAAATGCGGGATGTAAGTCGAGCCAGGGCATTGGAGGCTTGGGGGCCGAGGGTTAACGAATGAAAGAAGCCTAATCATTCGTCGAGAGCATTCAACCGCAGCCGCAACCGCAGCCAAATCCGATCCTGGCGCACTAGATCCATGCCCGGTGGTGTGATACGGGCCGTTGTAGGGCATGTTCCCCGAACTCCCCTAGTGTGTCCGTTGGAACTAACATCTGATGTTGACAGCCTGTGGAGCCCCTGCATGGGTTGCAACGCTGGAGCTAACATGATGTAACATTCTAACGAGCGGGGGCGGGGCCTTGGTGACAACTTGCAGACTTGCAAGTTGCAACCCATCTATGAAGCTTCCTTAGTTCAGCGGCCCCTGCTATGGAGTGGTTGGCATATTCGGAACTTTGAGATCTGGTGCATCAATCTCCAAAGCCTTCTTCATACACTCAAATTGGATCAAGTCCATGTGGGCCGTGGGGTGAGTAAACGCAATGGCGTGCCCAACTTCTTGCATGTGATTTACTTGGGTGGGATTGGTATTCCGGAGTCTGCAGCACTTATTGGAGGCGAGCGAGGTTGAAGAACAAACCTACACAGGGTAAGAATTTCTCCATTTATAAAAGGGTAGAGACCGGCCATACTCAAGTACAGCTTTTTCCGGTTAAAAGGCCCCAAGTAACTAGTGTCACCTCGGAATGTTGCCCTTTATCTCCTGCTGCTGCAATCCGACGTTCCATCCTCCAGGCGGCTCGTTGATCGAATGTCGCTCTAAGACCCCACCATGTCAAGAAGCGGGCTTGAACCCAAGGGGCAAGGGTCAGTGACAGGGACGACTTGCCTAGTTCAGATATCAACACCGAAGTGCCGAGAAAACGAGCCTTTTCGTAGGCTTTCCAACATCCACATGCAAGTTGTTGACCAACACATGAGTAACTCTACAAATCTGGTTAATTGTGGCGATGAAAACGCTCGCCAAGTCGACTGGTATCAATATGTTGAAATTACATCCGGCAGTGATGGGAATGCTTCACCATTGGAAGCATACCTCGGTGTATATAGAAGCCGTCCACATTCTCGAATGCCACGTTTCTCTGTTCCTTTTGCTCACCTACCTCGCTCCGCTGCCCTTGCAGATCCCTTCCCCCTCCTAAAGCGGAAGCTTGCATCTGGAACCTCCTTTCATCAAAGCAGACTTTAGCCGATTACGATGCTTCCCGTCAAGATTACAGCCGTCCTGAGCTTGGCGGTCGTCGCATGCGGTGCACCCCTCGACACCCCTCTCGAGGCTCGTGACGCCGGAGATGTGCTCGCAGACCTGCAAGTCCAGGCTATGGAGAATTTGAAGGCGGCTGAGGCCAATGGGACCATTTCCAAGCGTGGTTGCAACCTCTTCAACGCCAGTGTGCGCAGGGATTGGTAGGCTCTACCTTGTCTCATAACGATTTCGAGGCCTTTCCTGTGAGACGGAGTGGCTAGCCCTAGTATACACATCTAACATCTTGGTTCAGGGCAGCTTTCTCCACGACAGAGCGCAAGGAGTACATCAGTGCCGTCCAGTGCATGTTGACGTCTCCTTCCAAGTCCGACCCATCCTTCGCACCAGGAGCCCGCAACCGATATGACGACTTCGTTGCCGTCCATATCAACCAGACTCGGACAATTCATGGTACAGGCAACTTCTTGACATGGCATAGATACTTTACCTGGGCGTATGAGAATGCTTTAAAGACCGAGTGTGGTTACAAGGGGGCCCAGCCCTACTGGAACTGGTTCGCTCACACCGATGATCCGCGCAAGTCACCAGTCTACGATGGAAGTGATACCAGTCTGAGTGGTGATGGTGCCTACGTTGCTCATAATGGTAGCGTGAGTGCTTCGCCATATGGCGAGATCGCAATACCGTCTGGCAACGGCGGCGGTTGTGTGACGAGCGGTCCTCTCGTGAAGTAAGTGGCATCCTTAACTCCATGAAGAATTCATCTAACAGGATATAGCATGACTGTCAACCTTGGTCCAGTATCTCCCGGCATGGATGGCATGGACCCCAACCCCAATGGCCCCATGGAGTACAACCCACGTTGCCTGCGCCGCGACTTGAGCTCATACGCAGCGTCTACTTGGTTGACGACCCCTAACCTGCTCAACGTTACCGTTGGCCAAGCTTCCAAGAATATTTCGACATTCCAGAATGAGCTCCAGGGTCGCTTCTGGGATGGCTTCTTGGGTATGTTCACCGAATCCCTGAGATAGGTACAGTTGAGACTAACAACTCGAATGCAGGCATGCACGCTTCAGGCCATTTCGTCGCAAATGGAGATGCTAGTGATCTCTACTCCTCCCCGACTGATCCGACCTTCTTCCTCCATCATACCATGGTCGACCGCGTTTACTGGATATGGCAAGCCCTCCACCTCTGGGAGGCTTTAGAAATTGCTGGAACCATCACGATTCTCAATCTGCCACCGAGTCGTGATGCCACAAAGCAGGACATTGTTGAGATGGGCGTTTTGGCGCAAGATCGCCCTATCAAAGAGCTGCTGAACACTATTGACGACACTCCGTTCTGCTATATCTATCTATGATGAGGAACACCCATTTTGAACTTCGGAGGAGTACACGTGCAGTCAGGGTGCATGTGGTTCAGAGGAATGAAGTTTGTAATGAAAACCATTCTTTGTGAAGCAGGCTTTGAGTTATGTTCCTAACCAAACAAATTCTCAATAATTTTCAGTGAAGACTTCAATCTGTGTGAATCATTCCAACCCAAACCTCTGAGCCACGATTTGTGCTTGTACATAAGCATTGATGCTAGGGCTGTCTGTAATGTTGCTCATGAAGCTGTGTTGAAATATCCTGGTAGTTGACTTGACCCCTTGAGAACATTAGACACAACTTGATAAGACTTATGTAGACTCTTCCACTCGTTCGACTGGATATCTGCCAGATTACTCCCCTCTAGTCCGCCGATGGAGCAACAGGAGGTCCAATCTGACCAGGGCTATGGCGTGACGAGCTTTCGGAAAGATATCGGGAAATCACCCTTGCCTAGCAGCAATATGGTCAGCGTTATCATTTTCAAGTTTCCACTTTCTTGCCTGAAATGCGTAGCATTGGGAATGGGATGGGAAACTTCTATGCGGCTCTCAAGGACATCAGGGCTACTGGTCGCAAAATCGCATCCACTTGGCGCGTTGTACCATCAAGACCTGCTATAGCGCAATGCCGTTATCGCGCAGATGATTCGGCTTGAATAGGGGCTTGAGAGCATTTTAAAAGGAAAGCACATGTCCTGAAGATGCCGTATTGAGTAATCAGCTCAAGACGCGCTTTCTTCTTCAAGTGCGACGGGATCTTTGAACATGTCTGAAGTCAACCCTCAGGCGTTGAAGCCCAAAGGCAAGATCCACGATGTTTTTCGCGGAACGATATTCCAAGCTGTCTTATTGGGTCTCATCAGCTTTACTCAACCCGGAATATGGACGGCAATGAACAGTAAGCTGATCAAATGCGCTGCTATTACTGTGATATGTAATTGCTGATCAATCTCTTCAGATTTGGGCGCCGGTGGTCAAGCTGAGCCATACGTTATCAATGCTGTGAACGTCATCACATTCGTGTAAGTTGCCTTCCATTCGATTTCAGTCTTTCCAGATGTTCAGAGATACTGTGTTTGTGTTACTGATGACTTAGAATTATGATTGTGCTGTCACCGCTGGCGAGCATGGTCGGGAACTTGATTGGTATGAAGTGGATTGTCGTCATCGGAACTCTGGGCTATGTACCGTACTCCGCTGCGCTCTATTGTAACTCAATTTGGGGGACGCAGTGGTTTCTGATCTTTGGTGCTGTTACGTGTGGAATTTCGGTAGGTTATCCTCTCATCAGAGCGGCAGTCACAGGTTTCTGACGTGAAGTAGGCATCAGCACTCTGGCCTGGTGAAGCCGCCATAGCTGTAGGCTATCCCGAAGTTGCTCGTCGCGGTGTCTGCAGTACGTGTTTCTAGAGTGATGAAACCCCATATCTGGACATTTGCAGATCTCGAAGGAGTCCCATCATTGCTAACCTCTTGGTCAGTCAGCATTTGGATGGCTCTTGGGAAGCTCGGGTCCATCATCGCCACCGCGATTCAACTTGCCATCAACAAAGACAGCGACACGACCGGCGTCATCTCACCTTCGACTTACCTGGTCCTCGTTGCAATTCAATGCTTAGGATTGCCACTTTCACTATTGTTGGCACCGCCCGACAAGCTGATCCGCAAAGACGGGAAGAAGCCCATCTTTGCCAACTCTCAGCGAACATTCAAGACACAAGCTAGGGGCTTCCTTGCGCAGTTCAAACGAAAGGAGATCTTGCTTCTCATCCCAGCCTTCATCACCGCACAGTGGGGCGTCACGTACCAAGGTAATTACATGGCTGCATACTTCACCGTTCGCGCTCGTACCCTTGCGGGTTTCATCATTGCCGTTGTCGGCGCGATATCAAATGTTCTTGCAGGGTGGTGGCTTGATTCAAATCACTTGAAGAGAACTACCCAAGCACGTTGGAGTTGGTATTTCTTGTTGGCTCTCTTCACACTGGTTTGGGTCTGGAATCTGGTCGTTCAGGAGAGATGGGCGAGAAAGAGTCCTGGTGAGATTGATTGGGTCAGTGAGAGCTTCGGCGAGGGAGTTGCAATCTTCATTCTCTATCGGTAAGAGTCCTCCTCAGCGACCTCGAAAGAAACCATGGCGGCGACTACTAACAAGCGCTCTTAGCATTGCCTATGAGACTGTCGGCGTATGGCTCTACTGGACTCTCGGGACCTTCGACGTTGAAGCGGACACCATTGCTTTGTCGATGGGTGTCCTTCGCTCTGGAGAATCGTTGGGGTCGGCTCTGGCCTATGCCGTTGGCTCCATCCGCAGCGCCTCTTTGATGACGAACTTGGTCATATCTGTAGTCGTATTTTACGTAGGGGCACCAGCGACGACATGGGCTGCCCTCCTTGTCAAGGACCGACTTCTAGGTGAAGTATCTGGCCTGGACAGCGACGTAGATACCTCGGATTCGAACGTAGCCGAGCAATCTGACGCGGAGCAGATTCAAGTCAACTCCACGTCGAAAGCATGATCTAGGTCCCGGATTCTAGATCAAAGTCGACTCCTTTGTCACAGCTGAGGCGATGGATTTACACATAAAGCACATCCTCTATCATTTAATCTGACCTCGAAAGATCTACCAGAGTGGCGTAGAAATTGATCCTGAGATGATTGTTCTATGAAGGCTGTGGGCTAAGGCCTCCAGCTATGGCTTATATGCACATTCCAAGCCCCCGGCTTCCTTCGCCATCCTAGTAAGAGCGTATCTCCATTACAGACCAAGATCCTTCTTCAGGCCTGGCAAAACCGTTCCCTCGTTGAACGACCATACCAGCGCGCTGTTATGACCAGAGAAAGTCGCACCAGCCCAGTACGTGTTACGCGCGCCCTCCAAAGCAAGGAGTTTCCCATAGAACCCGCCCTTGATCTCCTCAGTCGAGACGCGGACGTTGTAGGGCTTGTGGTCCGAAACATAGGGGAACGTGACCGTCTGCGCCGCGTCCTTGGGCACGGCGCCGACGGCGGCCAGCGTAGCCAGGTTCTTTACGAGGACGGCCTTGGCGTCCGCCTCGGTGTAGTTCGTATCCTGGAAGCCGACGGCGACGAGGAAGTCGTTGGGGGACCCGGCCGTGTTGAAGCCATTCGTGCCGGGGATGACGGGCTGGTTGAAGGGGGTCTGGACGCCGACGTTGGTGAGGCTGGTGTTCAGGCCCGGGATCGTGGCTACGCCGGCCCAGTAGCCGAGGGCGGAGAACTTGGAGAAGAGGGCGTGCTCGTCCGAGCTGAGGTCGTACTTGGCCACGTTCTCCAGGATAGGGGGGATGGCGACGAGGAGCTTGCGGGCGCGGATGAGCTTCTTGGGTTGGCCTGGCTGCTGGACGAGGACGGTGACGCCCGAGGTGGTGTCCTTGTCGATCTTGACGTCGCGCTTCACCTTGACGACGTCGGAGTTGAGAAGGACACTGTCGCCGAGCTCCGCGGCGGCGGCGTCGTACAGGGCCCGGGTGTCACCGTTGCCGGAGAGGATGAACTCGCCAAAGAGACTCTGGAGCAGACCGGGTCCGAGGCCCTTGATGCCGTACAGCGCCGGGATCGTGGAGATGTCTCCGGTCCACCAGTTGAACTGGGCGATGACGGCCAAGAGCGCCGTGAAGTTATACTTTTGAGCGAGCTCCGCAAAGGGAAGCGTCAGTTCCTCCGGCACGGGGTCGGGAACGAGGAAGCCCTGGTCGATCCAGTGGTACTTTGCCAACACGTTGGTCGAGTAGGCCTGCGCAGCGGCCTGGAGTGCCTGCTGCTGCGCGGCCGAAGCAGAGGCGTTTTGCGCAGGGATAGGGAACCCGAGCGAGAAGTCGTAGCTCTTTGACGCGCCGGTGGCGGCGCTGGTGAGAGGGTTGGCCTTGATGGTCGAGACGTTGAGGCGGGAGAAGTAGTTGGTGACAATCTCTCTGTTCTCGAGGAGGACGACGCCGACGTTGGCCGGAATCTTGGTCTGCGGATTGGTGTAGGTCTCGGCATGGCCGCCAATCTGCGACTTCTTCTCGATGACGGCGATCTTGGCGCCGGCGTCCTTAAGCTGGATCGCGGCGTGGATGCCGGCGCTGCCGCCGCCGATGATGGCGACGTCGACGTCAATCTTTGCCTCGGCGCAGGGCTTCGCTGCGACTTGGGATAGCAGGAGAGCCCAGGCGGGCGAGGCGAGCTGGTTGAACTTCATGATGTGAAAAGGGAATGGACAAGGAGTGACTATAGTTGAAGTAAGCGGTATTAACAAGCGCACGCCGTATTAGAGATTAGCTAGCTTTGCGGCATATAAAGGGAGGAAGTCAAGAAGAAGAGTATCTCAGTGTATTCCTCGGGATATGTTGTTGTATTTATCAATTTGCTCCTACCAAAACATTGTCCAGGGCCATGAACTCTCTTAGAGAGCCTATGCCGGTACGGCCGGACGACCCGGACGTCGAAGTGGCGGGCGTTTACGAGTGCCGAACCAGGCAAAGTTCCGCATCCTTCGCAGCCCCCGGTTGCCGTGTAAGTGTCATGACACCCGACGCGACCACTGATGGTAGCCACGGGCGCACTAGCTCTCAAGGGTTGGTAGCAGGATGCCGAACTACAGAGTGAATGAGATTATTATTAATCTACGAGGAAACTTTGACGTTGACACTCAACGGTGCAAATGGCTTGTCCGGCTCCACCGAGTCCGTTTAAGCTTTGACTAGCGGTGTTGTCGCAAGGTTGTCAATATAGCCTCAATGGCATGCTACAATTTTCGTAAACGGAGTCCGAGCTGTCATATTGACTTGGCGTGTGCCCGCCGCGCGCGTACCCGAGTACGGGCTGTTCTGGTCGGGCATCGTATAAAAGGATCGCGAGATTACCCTTGTGTCGTTGGTTCATTCTTGTCATGGATGGTTTACCAAGTTTGCCATTCAACAGCCGAAGTTTTCAATACCCAATCTTATGGCTGTGAAGATATGCTGTGAACCATCTTAAGTCTTGTCTGACTTCCAATACACTGGAACTCAACACTTCACGCAAAGCAACTCAAGCAACTGATCAATCAACTTAGTCAACCAAATCAACTTATTGCTCATAGATGATTTGGTTGCATTGAGTGAAGCACTGTCACCTGCGTTGGCTCATCTGCATCTTCTTCCGCCAACAATTTATCGTCTCAGTTTAAAAGTGAGTAGAGCATGACGCAGCCGAGACCCAAAGTTCCAAACATTTGGAGCAACCCAACGTGCTTTCCAAATTCTTAAAAGCTCAAGTCTTTTTCGACATTGATTTTTGGTTTCATCCTCAGTCATTCCTTGCGTGAGTAATTGTCTCTAATATTGTCAAAGTTACTCGATTACTCATGATATAAATGAAGATTCTGTAAATAGTTCACTATTGGCCTGTAGAGAAACACATCATAGGTTAAGCCAAGAATTCGGACATGTGCATCATACCCACAAAGATCTAGTTGCAAGTATCAAGTATGACGTGAGTAAAAGACACAATTTTCACACAACTCAGTAGATCGATAGCCTGTACCAGTGGCCGCTTGTTCACACTTCAACTTTTCTACTGATTCACGAATACGAAAGCGGCTTCTCTCTACTTTACGCTGGGATAAGCTGAACAAGTCAATTAGGAATAAGACGTCAAAAGGCTCAACTAACCCGCAAACGGGGCAGTTGCCCGCTTTTGATGAACGGAAACCCGCAGGCATCTAGCTAGTCGGCATAGAGAGGAGCCACACAACCGCTCCGAATTCACGCAGACACCTCCACATTCACCGGGGCATTCTCCAGTCATTCTGCGCATCATGCTTATTACCTTATTCGTGGTGATTTTCCACCGATATCCGATATGGTGTAGTGGCCAACATGATGCCCTCTCATTTCTGTGAGAGGTTAGGCATAGCCCCGAGTTCGATTCTCGGTTTCGGAAACTTTTTGCTTTTGGCTGGTTTTGGCCACTAACAACTACCTTACTTGCTGACTGACAGATACGTGCTGAGGTTTGTTTTCTGTCCATCTAACGTGGGAATAGAGGTCACAGCGGTAAAAGAAAGTTGTCAATTTTGCAGATCGCGCGAAACTGGAATTCAGAAAGCTAGCCAAGTGATGAATTCAAATTCGGCTTTGCTTGTAGGAAAGTCATTGGAACAGGCCGGGTACCGGGAAACCCAGTCGCCTATCGGCGTGAAGCCCGGGCCCGCTGTGGAAAATCAGAACTTGGCAGCGGCAGACGATCGCCGGACCTTGATTCGTAAAGAAACCTGGCAAACAAAAGCTTGTATGATGAAAGAGTACGACTTGACGATCACAAGACGGCGGCAATCCTTAGGGAGCTTAGCGACTTCGTCCAACTAAACGTCTCATGTCCATCTGCGATCCGAAATCTATCACAATCACAGTAGCAGGCGTCCAAGGTGGATATCGGAGAAATGGACCGAGAGCAAGGCAACCGGAGGCTTGGAACAATAGATAGCCAACATAGTATCCCGTGACATCGTCTGCAGCCATTCAACGGGGGCGGGACAGTCCATCGCAAGCGTCGTAGATATCCGTAAACCATCCACGAAAGCAAGCTTCGCCGGCGCATCCGGTAAAGACGAACGGCAGCACGAATCCTCGCGTGCGCCGGGCCGTAAAATGACCATGCAAAAGCGCGACTACAGGCTTCACAGAAACTCTGATACACGACGCGTCGGCGCACTCGTTCACCAGCCGTTGATGAGTTGATGATAGCGCCAGTCTTGTCCGGGAACGCCCCGCGTCATTCAAAGTTCAAGCGCCAGGAACAAGAGACATCCATCCACTACAGCCGGGTTGTTAGCGCAGTGGACGAGTAAACTGTAAGATGGGGGGAAGGGATCGTGGCGTGGTGCTAGCTTTCAAGGAGAGAGGGGCTTGAGATGCGCCGAATAGGAAAGCAGAAGTCGAAAAAAAGGCCCTCATTCGTCGCGAGAGAGATGCGGGAGATCCCTTCTTGCGACCGGGGTGGAGGGGTAGCTGGTTGCAGAATCGGAAAATGGAACAAATAGTACGGGCGCGTAGGTATTGAGTGTGGAACGCTGCCACTGATTTTGAGCCGCGTCTGGCGAAAACTTGAGAGTAATCATGAATTCCAATATCCGTACTTTTCATGTCGTTCAGAGCCTGCGGAGGCCGAAGGAGGCTGTAGCCTGGTGACAAAATAAGATGGGCCATATGTCGATCGCACGACGTGCGGGAGCGCCCTGGGACGGGATTCCGCAATAGACGTAACAAGATAGAATTCAGCAGACATCAGACGTCCTCCGTGCGAGAACGTCTGTGTCCTGTGCTCCTGCGCTTTGGAAGCAAGACACGGATTCTCTCCCAAACTTATTAGCAAACGCTGTTTTCTTGACTTTTGTCCGGGAACGTGCGGAAAAAATAAGTTGCCCACGGTCTCTCAGAGGCATACGGATACAAAATGTCTCTGTTCTTCGGTCGTGAACATGAGATGTTGACCATCACCCAGCTTCAGCTTTGGCAGCGCATATCTCTTCTG